ACAACAAAAAGTCGGATTTGAAATTTCCAGTAGTATTAACAGTTTGCTTGAGGGAAAAAAACCTTCAAAGATAAAACACAATAATGTACATTGAATTTAAAATCCTATTGAACACTTGCCTATTATATACTGTTTATTAGTCATAAAATCCTAAAAAAACAATTTTAAACACGTTAGAATAACAAGTCGCAAGAGTTTTACATAGAATACTTACTCGCTATTTAATTTTAATACTTGTAAAAATTTTAGATCCTATCTACTGAATATTTTGAAAGAATAACTTTGAGAATGGACTTTGCCATTTTCCTACAGTACACATGACTTTTGGAGGGGAGTCTTACTGTTTTTGACAAAAACTGGTCATCAAGATTTTACTAAACAGAATATTACACATAATATGACCTCCAATTTACATAAAGAAATATCCAACTCATTAAAAATTAATGATTTGATTAATATGATAAACCTACTAAAATACATATACATTTATATTAAGAATTGATACAAAATTAGAAGTGACTGACCACTTTGATTTCATAACAGCTACCTTACCTATACTATTTTGCATAAGTGTGAAAAGTTCTTAAGTGTTAGGGTATAATTAATAGATAATTAATAGCGGCTACAGTCTTTTAAGATCAGCAAACTTAAAAGGTTTGAATTTTATTTTTAAGTTAATTTAATAATATTTAAAATATTACACAACAACGAGATTTAAATCACTTTTTTTTTTAAACTAAGATTACATAAGATTTACCGAAGAGAAGATATAAAAAAACACATCATATAAAGTATTAAATTTTACAACTTTATAGACTTATAGTTATACCTAGTTTTGTTTGATAAATAATTAAAATTAAGCTTTGTTAAATAGGTACATCAAATTGAACTGCATGACTGTCAAAGGGAAAAACTGGATATACTGGAGTATAGAAGGTAGGTACTCAGATTGATTAAATTTACAGTTATGGCCATCATTGGTAATTACCTGATTCTATGACTTGTTTCACCTTCTGACCAAGTTCCGAGCCGGAAGCCACTTCGGAGCGCAACATGTCTCCTGTGGACAGGTGACACGAGTAAAATTTCTGCAACAGTCTTGGCGCCTGCAAACGACAACAGGGTAGATAAGACAAAAAATGAAGAAATGAAAAATAGTGAATAGAAGAAGATGAACGTTCGTTCGTTCCGGTGTTTGAAAAAAAAAAAATTCTAATCTACCTGCGTTCCCTTGCCCGAACCGGGTGGCCCGAGCAGGACTGCATTGATGCCGGGTAATTTGATGTCTTCTTCGRGTAATGGTCTAGTGGCAGTGGCCAGGGGCGGCATGGCGTGTGTTTGGACGACACGTGTCGAAAGCGGACGTGTAGACCTCCAAGTCTGGTCAGCAGACGAATGATCGTTAATAGTGTTAATACGGTCAAGGAAGCGGGCAAAGTAAGAAGTAACTACTAACTAGTAACAGACGGCCTCAAGCACCGCTGCCGCGTGATACTGTGATAGTGGAAAATGATGACGACAACTAACACTACAACACTGACAAGCAACAATCAGCATTGATAATTTTATAATTGATATCAACACACAATGGATGACGACATGGTATAATTATTATGCTAACTACCGTGCGTTCCAAATCGCAACGATGCTGAAACGACTTTCAAAACCGTATCCGAATGAGGTTAAGCCGATCAGCTGTTTTCGGAGATAACAGCGGATTTGATAACAGGTAAATATCCACAAACGTCGCGAATTCGCCATWACAAAGATTTAATTTCCGTTTATTTCCTTTTTTTGAAAGTTTTAAATTTTGAGGTCGTATTTTTCATTTTTTAAAGCGTTTCAGGATTTTTAAAGTTCTTGAGTTCAACATTTAAACTTGAAATTTTATTTTAAGATTTATACATGATTTTTATATAAATTGAACATATTTAAATAATGTGCAGGTAAATAAACATAATATGATCTAAACCTAAATATAATAAAAAAATTACCTAAGAATGAATGGAATATTAAAAATTTATTATTAAAAAAATCTAAAACGATCAGTTTTGTCTGTAATACTTTTAACTATCCTTTAAAATGTATACCTATTACATATTAGTACCTATATTACATATATCATAATTTAATAAGAATTTACGACGAAAATGCTACAGACATAACTAAGAAACGAAATTTCTACCACATAAAAAGCAGAATTTTGGCTGTGAAATATTGTTTTTATTTTTCAATGTCGGAACCACAAAAAAGTTATTCTAGTTTGAAAAAAAAAACGAAAATTTTGTATTTTGAAACAATATGAACTTTTTTCTTATACCTAATGAGTAATATGGAAAAAAAACACAATATTTTACCGATAATATTTTCAATTTGAAGTCTTAGCTATCACTACAGCCCAGGCTCGTAGCTAGGGGGGCGCGGTGGAAGAGAGGGCGTTGCCCTCTCTAAAAATATTAAAATTACTAGATATTAACATTGTTTTTATATATAATGCCCCCCCCTAAAATTTAGTTTACTCCACCAGGGAATTTGGCCTGGCTACGGCCTGAATAGAGCCTGAATGGTTCTATCGAGCGCAAAACACTTTTTGCTATGTTGTACATTTGTTAGACGGAAAGAACACATGTGCGGGTGTAGTGTAATATTAATTAAAATTACCATGGAAAATAAGTCTCTAAACCAGAGAATAATTTTGTCCAAGTATAACTTCGATACACAAACATGAAACAAGTTTCTTTTTACTAAATATCAAATTGTATATAAATGCACTCATACAATTGTAACATTGAAACATATTACATATATACCTATAATCGAGTGATKATATAAGTTTTTGTTTCATATATATTACCTATACTTCAAGGCTCAAGTCAACTCTATTCAATTTACTTTTCAGGAATGGTACGAATAACAAGCATAGCAGATCTTAAACAATTTATACTTGATGGATATAATATGCTATCTATTAAAAATTTAAATGCCTAACACATGACTTGTAAATGTCACATGGATATTGAATTTTGAGTACCTACCTATAAATTATGACTATTTATATATTTATATATATATATATATATATATTAAGTCATTACGATAAATAACTAGTCATAACGATAACACGAATCAATTTAATCAAAATATTATTATTATATTATGTGGATCATGTCCCTATATTATAGCATACATATACTGTTATTAATATTAAATATGACGTGTATAATATGGAATTGTCTTTTGTATTGTAATAGAATTTATAAGGCATTGGCAAAAAAAAAAAAATCAAGTTTAGTATAAAATACCCTACCTCACTAAATGTATACCTTACCTACCAAAAGTTTAAGGAATAATTCAATAATGCAGTTTCCAATAATCCTGTTCGTTGTTTTAGCCAGTTGTACTCATTGTACTCATTTAATGTACGGAAATCAAAACATATCCCTTAACAATTTAGCAAACCTAGTTTCTCGGCTTAATTTAATCGAYGTAAGAAATTTAAATACAGATGTAATATTAGTTGAATCTTTATCTTCAAGCAAACTACATTATAGGCAATTATTTTTTTGGATTTAGAAAGAAAACCCCGAAATCAAAGTACTAAATTCTTTGGTTAATGAAATCATCAACAAGTATTTGAGCAGTTGTCATGTGAATATAATTTATGACGATCTATTTGATACTGATTTGTATTACAAGGTAATTTTTAATATTAAYAATGATCTTAATTTATTGTTTACACTAAGAACAGTAAAAACGTGAACAATATTAAATGTTATTTATTGAATGCTTTAACAATAATTTATTTTAATAGGTGCCTTAGCATAATATACTCTTTAGTACTTATAGAAGTTAGAATTTGTACTTTAATTATTGTAAATAATTTAATAATATCTCATAACATTACACTCGTGTAAATGGTTTAATTAGTGGAAGTAAGTCTAACGGATATAGTTGGATTATATTGCYGAGTACTGCAATGATTATAAATCAACCATTTTCGTATCACGATGACTTATCATTCAAAGTATATTTTAAAAGAATGTTAGCWCACTATTTATTTTAATTTCTCTCTTTGTCCCACGTGCAACAAAGCAAATATGCGTTCTGAAGAATCAATCTTATATTGCTGGCTTTAATATAGGAGTGAATTTATCTATTATATATCATACATGAGTTAATAAATA